TTTGTTATTTCGGCCGCCATCTTGGAAAAACCGGAAGTTGATAGTTTTTTATATTGGTTTCATTTCTTTATTTGTTAAGAAGGGTCTAAAGAGATAGTATACAAAGTTTCAATGTTTTACCACCTTGTGTACGGTTCCTTTGATATTCAGTTTAGAATTTTTGCAATTTTATCCGCCATCTTGGAAAAAACCGGAAGCTGATTTTTTTCAGGTTGGCTCCATATCTTATTTTGCTAAGAATGGTGTTAGGAGCTTATATACCAAATTTCATGCTTTTACCACATTGTGCAGGTTTTTTTTTATATTTCCTGGACTACACGTGGAACTTTTCTTTGAGGAATAAATAAAGTATGCTAGTGTTTTTATGTTATAATGTTACACCACTGTTTCAGTTCCGGTAAGGATTAAGGTTGTAAAAACCTTTAAACCAGCTGCATTTTTATGCACCTCTCTTAAGTCGGGAGTACGTTGTTCAGTGGTTGTCGTTTGTTGTTGTGGTTTATAAGTGTTTCTCGTTTCACGTTTTTTATAAAGATTAGACCGTTGGTTTACTTGTTAGAATTGTTTTACACTAGTAATGTTGGGGCCCTTTATAGCTTGCTGTTTGGTGTGAGCCGTGTTGAAGGCCGTACGTATACTTTGACCTATAATTGTTTACTTTTTACACATTTTGACTTGGATGGATAGTTGTCTCATTGGCACTCATTTCACACCTTCTTATTATTAGACACAGTTACTGGAAATGTAAAGATATCATTGAAGCTGTAAATGTTTTCCTGGACAACATCTATGTACGTTTCGACGATAATATGTATCGACAGGTAGTAGGTATTCCTAAAGGCACCAATTAGGCCCATTTCATAGCAGGATTTTTCATGTGTTGCTATGAATCACAGTTTATGGCCTAACTCAGACACGTCATTGTTACATTTGGTTGACACATTCAACAATACCTACCGTTGTCTTGATGATATATTTCTCTAACTATACTACCGAAATTACCTAAATGGAACTTGTACCGTTATACCACTATCCAGGTTAGGGGGAGATCCCGCTAAAATGATTAAACCCACGACATTCTGTATGTACAGTGATGTATGTGCCTGTCCCAAGTAAGGAGCCTGTTATTCAGTTGTTGTCGTTTGTTGATGTGTTACATATTTTTTTTCGTTCATTTTTTTGTACATAAATAAGGTCGTTAGTTTTCTCGTTTGAAATGTTTTACATTTGTCATTTCGGGGCCTTTTATAGCAGACTATGCGGTATGGGCTTTTCTCATAGCTGAAGGCCGTACGGTGACCCATAGCTGTTAATTTCTGTGTCATTTGGTCTCTTGTGAAGAGTTGTCTCATTGGCAATCATACCGTATTTTCTTTTTTTATATTAACTTTAAATAAGCAGCAGCAGTTGTCTTTTTCTAGATTTAGACATTGTTTTTGGCTTTTAACTAGCTTTCAGTAATTGTGAGTGCTCTCAAATCGTACATTTGTGTTTAGTTGACCTGTTGTCACAATTTGTTATGCATTTCTGTAATTCAAAGTTTACTTACTTTGTGTTATATCTCGTCTCACTTTTTTGTATCACCTTTGATAGGTATTTATCAGAAGATTAGGACTAAAGAAAAAAAGGTCCCTTTTGATTTTGACGATTTAAAGTTTTGAAGTTCTCGAGGTTTTTAATTTGTTTATGAAACATTAGATATTTGTTCAAATGTTAAACAAGAACACAATTTGTCGTTGTATCACAAGGCTAGATTTGATCAAATATACATGCTCTTGTCATTCTAAAGTTATGAGAGTTTCTTCATACAACATTGCACATTTTTCACATATCACATACTTAATCAAGTGTGCTTGGATTGATTTCCTTCACTTTTTGCGCTGTTGTTGAGATAGATAAAAGGAGGTTCCCTTTCCAATTAAAATAATGCATATCGTTCAAGAATTACAGCATTTTTAAATGTATGATTAAGGTAAATATTTCACATGATGTTCCATCACTTTGGTATGCTTGGACAGATTTAATGGGCACTCACACAATTATTTGCATCGATAATGATAATTACCTTTAAAAAACTTAAATTTGGTTCAAATTACCATACGCATCTCATTTAAGTTTTTGTTACAAGTGACAGATCAAGGGTTTAAGAAATGAAGCTTTACTGATCATAAGGGTTAAAATAGAAGCAAGTGTAGCTGGGCAACAATTGTTTTTATGATTTTATGCCAATTAAATGGGTAGTCTATGCCTCCTACATTCGACACTGCATATCTATATTATATCACATGCTATTGAACAGCCAACCACACAGCATAGCAACCAGAAATTATTAAACCATGCGCCCCTTAAAAGGTCACATGCCTTTGCCCAACATAAGATTTGTTTTTAAAAACCAAACCCCTAGAAGAAAAAGCAAACAAAACACAACCATGAAAGACAACAAAATATGACAAAATGATTTACAACAAAAACCCTTCGGTCATAAACAATTGTTCAACAAATAAATATAGTTCCTCGAAGTACAATGAGATGTATCTTTGTCGACAAATCCAAAACAAGTAGGCTGTAGGTGTAATTGTATCAATCTTGGTATGTGTTGGTAGACCAATGATATGAACATAGCATATCCTAAGACTTTAAGAATTTAATTACGTTTAACGTTGACGGAAAAACGCAACGCTGATCTATCTACTGATACAACTTAGGTTGAGGTGGATTCCGGCAATTCTGAACTGTCTTTTTTCCCGTCTTGTTAACATATACACTAGGTATCACAGATCATAAATTAAGTTTTAAAAAAATCGAGGTGGACATGTTTTACGAATGGCTAACAATCATAACAGAAAATAGATGTAATAGAAAGAAAAAAACGACAACACTAGTGTCTTTTCTTTTTCTTATTAATTTAAAACTTCATAGTTTATTGTCACATACTGTTAATTATATAGGGGTGTAATAAGTAAGGATTAATATTTTTGTGATATTTGAATTAATAGTGGCTGATTAAACAGAAACATGGAAAGAAAAATCTATAAAACACTTAGACCCTTCTTTAAAATTGGTACAAAATGTTGCCCTGGACGAAACACTCCTGTTATTTAGAAACTTCTAAAAATATATCTAAACAAAATATAGCGATGCATATTGATGACCATAAGAATAAATTAGCAAACTAAGTCATAATGATGATTTAAAAAACTTCAATACAGAACAAAAAGTAAAATCACAAAAATACTGAACTCCGAGGAAAATTCAAAAAGGAATGTCCCTAATCAAATGGCAAAATCAAAAGCACAAACACATCAAACAAATGGATAACAATTGTCATATTCCTGACTTGGTACAGGCATTTTCCTATGTAGAAAATGGTGGATTAAACCTGGTTTTATAGCAAGCTAAACCACTCACTTGTATGACAGTCGCATCAAATTCCATTATATTGACAACGATGTGTGAACAAAACAAACAGAGATAATAGGTAAAATTGACATACGTACAATTAACTGTTCCATTTTCTTTTTAGAAATTCCGTATAACATCTATGAAGTTCAGCTTTTTATATTTCAGTAAGAATTTTCCAAGAAAATTATTCACGTTTGCAACTGTTTTATTTACTGTGTGAATATGGTTACTCTGTCTTTTTTTCGGAATAATATTACAAAGTGTTTTATATCAATTGACAAAACCAGGTTACAAACTAAAATCGAGGTAAACAAATCAACTATATGGCGAAAACAAAGGAACAACAGGAACACTGAAGTGCAACAAAAACAAACGCCAACATAAATAGAAACGAACTATTTGATAACAACTGCCATATTCCTGACTTGGAACAGGACATTTTAAGAAAAAATGATGGGTTGATAGTTATTAAAGGTACCAGGCTTATAATTTGAAACGCCAGACGCCATTTCGTCTGCATAAGACTCATCAGTGACGCTCAGATCAAAATAGTTAAAAAGCCAAACAAGTATAAAGTTAAAGAGCATTGAAGACCAAAAATTCCAGAAAGTTGTGCCAAATACGGCTAAGGTATTCTATGCCTGGGATAAGAAGATCCTTAGTATTTCGAATAATTCATAATTTTGCAAACAGTAAATTTATAAAAATGACCATATAATTTATATGCATGTCAGCACCGAAGTGCTGACTACTAGGCTGGTGATACCCTCGGGGACGAAACGTCCACCAGCAGTGGCATCGACCCAGTGGTGTAAATAGTTATCAAAGGTACCAGGTTTATAATTTGATACGCCAGACGCGCGTTTCGTCTGCATAAGACTCATCAGTGACGCTCAGATCAAAATAGTTAAAAAGCCAAACAAGTATAAAGTTAAAGAGCATTGAAGACCAAAAATTTCAAAAAGTTGTGTTGAACCTGGTTTTATGGCTAGCCTAACCTCCGGCTTATATGACAATGCTAAAAAAACATATATCTCTAAAATGACAAAAAACCACGTGATAGAAACAGAGCACAAACACACAAAAGAACACTCATCACAGAGACACGCACAACACATAATATAATAGTCGACACAACATGCAAACCGCAGAGAACAACAACGAACATCTTTCACCAACGACAGACACCACAGGACATCACAAGCAATGACGCACTTACGTAACGAACATACACTCGCGAACTTTATACAATTTTTTTCACAATACCAGTCCAAACAATGATGGTATTGAAAGGCTATTTTATAATTATTTGGACTACAAACGATAAGACATAACACATTATCCAGAACCATAACAGAGACATCAAATATAAAAACATGAGTGTTGGATGTACAAAATACCGAGACACGTCGTATAGCAATGCAAATTCACACTCGTTATAAAAGTCATATTCGAGAATAGGTCATGCTCGGAACTTAACAGACAGACGACATATCGCTAAATTTGTTTCTCGAATATATTAATGCTCATGTACAGTTTATACAATACAACATAATATAATTAACAATACAGGATGTATTAGAGATTAAAAAGCCTACCGACTCTGACTGTGACTGTTGGTTCTTTGCTGTTGTACATTTTATTGCATAACAACGTTTGGTTATATTATCTTGGGCTAAATATACTTTTCCAAATCCTCCCTGACCAAGCAATCTGACAATGGTATATCCAGCTAGACATTCTACGTTGTCTGTAAAACAAAACAAACAATCTCTGTACATAGATATAAAGACAAGTATTATTGATTCAGGTTTTGTATTGTCAAATGCAATAGCATATCTGCTTTCAGGCTTAAATTTTCTGAACTATGTAGCTTATTCCGTTACCCATTTAACCCATTGTTTGTATTGTTCTGTTGATAATTGTATTCCCAAGCATGTTCCATTTCACAATCACTGGACATCATTTGAAATAGGCAAATAACTGCTACCCTTTGAAATTGTATCTTATCATGGTTCAAATAAATAATGCCAATTGAATACAGTGATGTGTAGGTTCATCATTCTTTCGAGCTATGCACTATGCTCATTTCAAAAATGTTTGAGTTGTCAATATGCATTGAACGATAAAAACGCACACACAACAAATTACCTGTAGCATGAATCCGTGGAACAAATTGCGTTTGCAAAGGAAAAACAGGTCGTAAAAAAGGTTGATAATGTGATGCTAATGGTACAAACGGTGTTTGTTGATGGTACATATTAAAAAAACCTTTTTAGTTGTCTTCTTCAGTATTATACCAATAACCTGCAAAATAACATATAAATCATATTATTTTTAACTTATAAACACTAGTGCAATTGCATCATTTACCTAAAACATTGGAGATGTAACGATACATCTCCAATGTTTTAAACATTTTAAATTGTTTATAAAAACCACAAATTACATATTGATTTCGTTCAAAATATGCATCTGAGAAGCAAGTTATTTCATTTTCTCAATAAAAAAAAACACAAAAAAATCCCTTCATTTTACTTCAATCAGTCAAATTATAATTACAAGATCAATTCATCAAATCAATTCCTCTGATTTTAAAATTTTAGAAAATGCCGTTTGTCATCCTAAGCTATATGGTTATTGATACGCATGGACAGTTTATGGTTAAATAAAGCTGTAATTATAATTTCATTGACTGATTCGATCCACAAAAATATCATTCTTATACAGGGTAAAACGACGGTTAACATATATTTTTAATCTATTAGATCAATTAAACAGACCTAGAAAAATCCAATTGCAAGAGTCTGCTTTCTATTTATATCTATATTTATGTTCATATCGCTTAAATGACCATCGGGGGTCTCCGGAGGTCAACTCGATAGTTAATTAGATGGTGTTAAGACTAAAATACACACGAAACGAAGCAAAATATCATCGTGGCCTTGCCCTGTTAATTGTTCATTTTAGACTTTTTATAATTTGGATAAATGTTTTACATGGTTATAAATCCAACTTCGGTGAACATGAATTTGACAACTAGTACCCCTTTAAGATAATTATGAAGTAAATGATTTGTTTATAGTTTACCTGCGTGGAAAATATCTTTCTATTGTTAAGACGTGAACAATTTAATGTAAATAACAAAAATGTGTTTTAATGACGTGAATACATTGTATCACATGGGTTTAAAATCAATGTATTTATATTCACCTTTAATTGATTTTAATGCATAAACATGTATTGACTATTATATAGGAGTATAAATAATGCACGTTGTGTGTATAGATATAGTGATATAACAATTTACTTCATGTCAATTTATATTGGGAAAAAAACCAGGTTTTTAATCCTTCAAATATATGTATATAATCTGTCTTTATGTTTACTGTAATAAAAAAAAAAACAATGTTTGTGTTAAATCACATGAATACATTGTAGGTAGCGGATTTAAAGTGGTGTATTTATATTCACTTTTAATTGGTTTTAACGTATAATTGTTTACATAGGAGTAGAATTAAAAAGTACAATGACAAAAATACCGAACTCCAAGAAAGATTCAAAAAAGGAAAGTCCGTTATCAAGTGTCATATACCTGACTTGGTACAGGTGTTTCCTTATGTAAAAAATGGTGGATTAAACACGGTGTTATAGATAGCCACACCTCTCACTAGCTATGACAGTCGTCAAATATCCATTATATTGACAACAATGCGTGAGAAAAACCAGACATATGAGGTAAAAATGACACACATAGGATACAGCAGTCAACATTGTGTTATAATCTTAATTACTATAAAAACAAACAAATATGTCAACAAAGAAAAACAAAATGGCATATATAAAACGAACATAAGCAAAAATGAAAGACAAGAATACAAAAATGACCATTGCACAATTACACAAAGGCGGGATGTAAAAGTACCGAGCCACACAAAGATTATTACCAAATATGGACTAAACTTTGTTGTTACTTTAAGATTGTTGTTACTTTAAGATATCTAAGAGAAATAGTCATCGAAGATATACATCACAAAAAGCATACCTACATAGAAAGTTTATTTTTCATGAAAAAATTACAATTAAGGAGGTTCGCGGGTTCAAATGTTCGCGCCTTCTGCGCAGAATGATGCGCATCACTGCCGTAACTAAGGCAAGCTGTCGTAAATTACAAGAAAACTTCCTATGAGACAATAACATAATTGAATGATAAAATTTGCAGATAAATATCTATCTGCTATCATTGTTTTCAATATTTTCTTTTTGAAAATCGATTTGTGTAATTTCCGGTCGTCTTCATTTACTTCCGGCATACAGATACAGCCCTTGGATGGTGTAAACTTCCCAAAATAACGTGTATGGTGTAATGGTGTATGGCATATGGTGCAATGGTAGAAGGTGTATGGTGCTATGGTGTATGGTGTAAGGGGAATGGTGTAATGGTGTATGAGGAATGGTGTGATTGTGTAACGTGCGATCGGGAATGGTGTGAATGAATGGTGTACGACATTTCATTGGTTGAAACCGAAGTTCATTTTATTTTAATTTTTCGGATTGTAAACATAAACAATAATAATAATCCTATTGTTCTTTTTTCCCAGTAAAGCAAATTACTCTACTCGTTAGACTCTATGTCATATATATTTAATATACACATATTAAAAAATCTTTTTTTTTCATATTCTTATTTACATTAAACAATGGCTTTAAAATTACACACTTGTGATCACATGCAGTTATCATAAAAGAAAGGATTTTATTTAAACTAGAAGGCGGATAGAAAGGTTATCCACGCATCGGAACAGTATTTTTATATCACGGGTTATCAACATCATTTTTAAAGTTGCTTCGTTCCCCACTTTTGACAGTCTCTTTATAAATATCTTATCGTCATTCACCTATGTTTGCCTTGGATTTACGATTCTGTTTTCCAAAAAATGTTCAAAGGAAAATTGTACAGTGTTATTGCACATAAGGTGTTGTATAATTATGAACAATCTCGTCAATTTAGTTAGATTTGTCTTTACGGATTATAAATGATATCTTGAACGTCCGAAAAAATATACTTATGTGAAACGGAATGAAATATTTGCCACTTGATATTTAGCCACCAACAAAATCAACCAACCGACATAATATACTAACAGTATACTTTTCCTAGAAGAGCTAGAACTTCTCATGCTTTTCATTATAAAGTACAAATGAAATCTGTCATGTCAGTCACACTGTTGGATGATGAGGTGGAATAGTTTTATTATACAAACCATCCTGAACTACTGAGTTTAAATCATCACACCTCAGCAAGCACGACTAATTTATGTGCAGACCAACCCATCACACAATAGCCCAAAAGGAATCTGTGATGTACCCGTCCATATTCAGAAGTCATGGAAGTGGGAAATACAGATACTGATACTGACTTTAGTGACAGTTTTATATAACGAATACAGAGATGAAATGCTGGCACTCTAAATTAATGCGGACAAGATTTTGTTATCATTGTATTGCAATGTTGCTGTCATTTGTATTATACAATCCATCCTGACATCAAAATATTGCTGATTTACTATGCTGCTGCCGCTATATAGATTTACATAATAAAGTGCAAATATGGTCAGTTTTGTTTGATACTTTAAAATAGTTTTGTTATACGAGTCAGCCTGAGGTATCAAAACTACTGAAATTTTCTTGCGAGACAATATTTTAATAAAAAGAGGACATGCTGGCTATCTAGATTGATGGGGAAAAATTTTTGTTGTCATTGTATTGCAGTGTTGCTGTCATTTGTATTATACAATCCATCCTAACATCAAAATATTGCTGATTTACTTTGCGGCTATATGCTGATTTACTATGCGGCTATATAGATTTACATACATGACATAATAAAGTGCTAATATGATCAGTTTTGGCTGATGCTTTAAAATAATTTTGTTATACAAGTCAGCCTGAGGTATCAAAACTACTAAAATATTCATGCGAGACAATATTTTGAATAAAAAGAGGACATGCTGGCCAATTACATGTAGATTGATAGGGACAAATTTTTGTTGTCATTGTGTTGCAATGTTGCTGTCATTTAATTTGTATAATGCAATCCATTCTGACATCAAAATATTGTTGTTTACTATGCGGCTATATAGATTTACATAATAAAGTGCAAATATGGTCAGTTTTGGTTGATTCGTTTAAATAATTTTGTTATACGAGTCAGCCTGAGATATCGAAACTACTGAAATTTTGTTGCGAGACAATATTTTGAATAAAAAGAGGACATGCTGGCTATCTAGATTGATGGGAACAAATTGTTGTTGTCATTGTATTGCAATGTTGCTGTCATTTGTATTATACAATCCATCCTGACATCAAAATATTGCTGATTTACTATGTGGCTTTATAGATATACATAATAATGTGCAAATATGGTCAGTTTTTGTTGATGCATTTAAATAATTTTGTTATACTAGTCAGCCTTAGGTATTAAAATTACTGAAATTTTGTTGCGAGACAATATTTTGAATAAAAAGAGGACATGCTGGCAATCTAAATTGATGGGGATAATTTTTGTTGTCATTGTGTTGCAATGTTGCTGTCATTTGTATTATACAATCCATTCTGACAATAAAATATAGCTGCTTTACTATGTGGCTATATAGATATACATAATATTAAAAGTGCAAATATGGTCAGTTTTGGTTGATGCTGTAAAATAATTTTGTTATACAAGTCAGCCTGAGGTATCAAAACTACTGAAATTTTCTTAAGAGACAATATTTTGAATAAAAAGAGGACATGCTGGCTATCTAGATTGATGGGGACAAATTTTTGTTGTCATTGTATTGCAATGTTGCTGTCATTTGTATTATACAATCCATCCTGACATCAAAATATTGCAGATTTACTATGCGGCTATATAGATTTACATAATAAAGTGCAAATATGGTCAGTTTTGGTTGATACTTTAAAAAAGTTTTGTTATATGAGTCAGCCTGAGGTATCAAAACTACTGAAATTTTCTTGCGACACAATATTTTGAATAAAAAGAGGACATGCTGGCAATCTAGATTGATGGGGATAAATTGTTGTTGTCATTGTGTTGCAATGTTGCTGTCATTTGTATTATGCAATCCATTCTGACAACAAAATATTGCTGATTTACTATGCGGCTATATAGATTTACATAATAAAATGCAAATATGGTCAGTTTTGGTTGATTTGTTTAAATAATTTTGTTATACGAGTCAGCCTGAGGTATCAAAACTACTGAAATTTTGTTGCGTGACAATATTTTGAATAAAAAGAGGACA